CTTCTTGAACACCACACCTTCTTAGTAATGTCCCTGTTTTTCCAAAAGACTGCTGTAAACAAGCAAAAAGCTATACTAAAAACTCAGGCATTTTCTTATGCATTTCTATGGAAAATTTGTCAACACTTCTTAGAGTTGTTGTTTGTTTTGCTAATGCAGGCACCACTATAAATCAATATTCCATCTACATGGAATTTAAAGTCACAGAGAAAGTCTAGGCATGGTGGCACATACCTGTAAACCCAGTAACCAGAGGCTGAAGCTGGAAGATTATAAGGTTAAAGCCAGTCAAGACTATATAGTGAGACCTTATCTCAGATAACTTGGGCCAGTGAGATGGCTCATGGGTAACATCCATTGATAAGCAAGCCTAACAACCTGGGTTTAATCCCGAGAACCCAAATAAAGGTAGGAGAAAAGTCACTTCACAAAGTCCTCTAACCACCACATATGCCTCCCCCACCCCAATAATAAGAAAGAAAGAAATTTTAAGCCGGGCGGTGGTGGCGCACGCCTTTAATCCCAGCACTTGGGAGGCAGAGACAGGCGGATTTCTTAGTTCGAGGCCAGCCTGGTCTACAGAGTGAGTTCCAGGACAGCCAGGACTATGCAGAGAAACCCTGTCTCGAAAAACCAAAAAAAAAAAAAAAAAGAAATTTTAAAATAGTGAAGTTCTTGGAGTCCTGAACCAGTCTGCCTGCATTCCAGTCAGTCAGGCCTCTGCCATTACACTCTCTGGAATACATTTCATTCACACACTGTGTGCCTCAGTTTCTCATCTGTAAAGCAGTGATGAGTTACTGAGCTCACAAGACTATTGTTGCAAAGATAATATGTGTGAAGTGTTTAGACTACTGGCCGGCAGAGAACAAGCCCACCTTGTAAGCACACATCCATCTTTACCAGAGGGTAGCCATTCACATTCACCTCTTTCTGTTCCTCCTCAGGCTTCAGCGGCTTCTGAGATATATGCTATGTCACAATAGCAACACAGCAATCTATTTCCTAAATTCATCTGAATTCATGAAATTAGGAAGTTTCCTCTCACATACATACAGTTACTAACGTTTCACTGATATGAATACAACACAAAGTACAGAGTGGTAGAAACAATGCTTATTAGCGAAAAGCAAAGAGGCAGGCCAGAACATATGATGAGAACTTGCTTAAATTTTTAAAATACTTGGCATGGTAGTACACAGCCTCTGAAGAACTGTCCTTTCAAATTGCTTAAAATACCTAAAAACGAACCAATGATGGTGACAGACAGTAGTAGCATTACTACTTTTTGTTTTTTGAGACACAGTCTCTCTGGGTAACCCTAGCTGTCCTTAAGATTCCTATGTAGCCTAGCCTAGCCTTGAACTCAGAGATCCCGTCTACCTCATAAACGCTAGGACTAAAGACATGTGCCACCATGCCAGGCTCCTTTGCTATTGCTGTTATTAGCAATTCTGCTGCCTCTGAACATTGGGGGAAATGTCTCTTTTGAAATCCAAAAGTCTGGAACTACTATTATGCAATTAGACTTCCCAACACACACAGGCTGCTTAGGAATCTTCTCTTCTGTTAACTTCTTTTACCATTTATTCTATGAACTCTTGGACTCAAACTTTCTTTTCCTGAAATAGCTAGATCTTTGAATACTACTGCTATCTGGCAGTCAGTTTCCAAACAAAATTAAATAATGTAAAGTATCTGATAATGTTTCACTTAAGGGCTTTCCCACATTGTCAAGAGCATCTTGCAGATATTTAATTCTACCCAGTTTCAAAGGAAATCAGCTTATAAAAGAAACTTTGTCTAAACCTTTTATCTTCATTAAATACACAGACACCTCTCTCAAGATAATTAATAAAAAGGCTATTTCCTGAAAATAGTTTTATTGTACATATGAGATGTATTTTCTCTTATTAGAACGGCTTAGCCACTTCTTATCTATCCTTTGGCAGACATCAAATTTTAAAGTGTTAAAGACTTTATGTTTAATTATATGTATGTGTTTGAACGTAGGTATGTGCACAAAAGTGCAGGTATCCTCTGAGGCCAGAAGAGGGTACTGGGGGCTGGAATTGGCTCAGAGCACTTGTTTTTACAGAAGACCAGGGTTTGACTCCCAGCACCCACATGAGCTGTTCACAAATGCCTATTAACTCCAGTCCCAGGAGACCCAATGCCATCTTCTGATCCAGGCATGCACATGGTATACAGGGAAAACACTTATACACATAAAATAATAAGTACATCTAAAAAGAAAAAAAAAAAAAAAAGAGGGCATTGAATCCCCTGAAGTTGAAGTCACAGGTGGCTGTGAACCACTCAGCGTTAAGTGTGAGGTATTGGACTCCTCCTCCAGAAGAGCTTCTAGCTGCTAAGCCGTCTTTCCAAACCCTAACCTAAATATTTACCTGTATCACTATATAACTAAACACTAGTTTTAGCCATAACATACTACATTCACACTTTATATATCATAGAGATATAGGAGCTAGACATGATGATACACACCTGTAGTCTCAGAACATGACTGAAGAGTGGAGGATCTCAGGAGTTCAAGACCAGCCTCAACTTATTCTACAACATGGCAAGTTCAAGGCTAATTTGGTTCCACAAACAATGCCAGGCATGGTGGCATAAACCTTCAATCTCAGCATCTATGATGCAGAAACAAGCAGATCTCTAGGAATTCCAAGCCAGTAAAGGCTACATAGTAAGACTCTGACAAAAAATAAGTGACCTATGAAACTCAGTCACAGAGAGTTTGCCTTACATTGGTCAGCCCTGTTTTCAATCTCCAGTGCGACTGACAGAAAAAGATTTTTAGTCTAACATACTTTAAAATAACTTTAATTCATTAATTGATGTTACTAAATATCATGATATCATGTCTTACTAAAAAGCAAAACAAAAACTTGACTGATGTGTAGGCAAGGCTATATATAATTCCAGTACTCAGAAGACTGAGACTGGAAAACTGCTTTCAGTTCAAGTTGGCCAGAACTACAAAACAAGACCCTGATTCAAGAAACAAAACGCATGAAAACTTGTTTCTTGTGGTACATATTAACTATGAGAATATTTAGTGTATAATTAAATGGTTCAGAAACGGTTTTCTTAAAGAAAAGCTCATTAGAAGAACTTAAAACATACAGTAAATTACTTTTTACATGACTAAATAATAAGAGGCCCAGTAAGATTTTTTTATAGACTGCGTTAAAAAAAATTCTAAAGTTGGTAATAATCATAACTACATTTCATATTAACCTATCCATTTTTATTTCATGGTTTCTAAGTATCTGAAATATGCTGCTGCATAGTCTTTTTTATTCTGCATTTATTCATTCAATTAATATGGAGTGTTATATATAAGTTTAAAATCCTTTCCAAACATACACATACAAAGAACATAAAAAACTGTGTGCATAAAATATACTCAGTGGGCCCAGTGAGAGGGCTCAGGAGGTAAAGATGCCTGCCATCAAGCCTGATGACCTGAGTTCGATCCCTGGGACCCATCTGGTGGAAAACAGACTCCCACATCTTGCCCACTGACCTCCACAAGTGTGTGTGTGTGCTTACCCTACCCTCAACAGAAATATATCCAACAGAAGCAAGATACACTCAGTAGTTCTCAACGTGTCTAAAGAAAGTCTAAGAAGACTTAACATGGATGGAAATAAATTCCTGAGGGCTCGTTGTCACACTGATACATTCTGCAATATAAACTAAATGCATTTTTAAAAATGCTTCATGAGGCCACAATGACAACCATTTTTCCTACTAAAAAGCTACAGGAATTCCATTTAAGAGCACATGCGCTAGCCTAGCCTACCTGCTCTATGAAAAGGACTAAGTGGAAAAGAGCAATAGCCTTAAGTCTCCAGATAAACACAGGAGAAACTCCAACCCTAGCTTCTTCAAATACTCCTCCATCAATATGGAGGTCAATTTAGCAAAAGGAAGTCAAGGGATGTAGTAAAATGTAAGCACTGTTAACAAACATTAAAAAGAAGCCCTTTTAAAAAGTGTAAAATGCTTTTTTTCCAAGAAAAAAATGAGTGAACTACCCAAAATGTTAACAGGAAAAAAAAATCGATTGTATTTTCAAGAAACAAAAATTGTTCAAATAAACCCGCTTAGCAAAGTTTTGTAAATTTAATCTTTTTAGGATTATTCCGCTAATACTAATCAGCAACATTAAAAAGTCATTCTAAGTCACCCGGTGGTGCACGCTTGTATTTCCCAACTCAAAAAAGACTGAGGCAGGAGAATAGAACGAGTTACAGAACGATGAGTTTCAGGACACTGTGGGTCACAACTCAGATCCTTTCTCAAAATAAAATAACAGTCATCGTAGTACCTAAAACATCATCACTACACACAAGGTGCTCATCTTTTACTCAAAACTTAAAGTAGACCCAAACTCTGGCCATTTCCCCCCTGCAGGGCACACTTTATGAAATACACGAGGGAGAAAAATCCAAGAAATCAGATAGGGTTAAGTGCTGGTACCTTCCTCTTCCAGAGTAGGGTCAAATGCGTGTCTACCCGCAAATGTCACTGTCGCCTCCAGAAGGCTGCCAATTCTCCTTAACTCTGAGTACAAAGAGGCCTGAGCACCGAAAACACCTGTCCCGAGCAACCGGGAGGGTGGTGATGAAAGCCACCCCCGGGAGAGCACAGCCGGACACAGAGCCTCGGGGTAGCAGAGGTCCGAAGACCCCGGGGGTGAGTGCTGGCTTCGCCGATCCCTGCACCGGGGTCTTCACACGCCTCTCTCGGCGACAACAGGGAGAAAAGTCACACCGGCCAGGACGCGCCCGCGCCCTCCCGGCTACACTGTGCCACCTCATCCCGGAGGCCTGCCCTCGGCCGCCGCCCCCCGGTCACCGCCGTCCGTGTCGCGGCCCGGGCCCCGCTCCCTCAGGCCGGAGCTCCCCGCGCGCTCCCCGGCCCCCGCTGCCGCCCGCGTCGCGCTCCCCTCACTCAAGCCGGGCTACCTGGAGGCCAGGGCGGCGGAGCACTTCACCCAGGGCCCCAGGTCGCAGAGGGCCCGGTGCTCCGGGTCCCTCTCCTTCTCCCGCTCCACGTGGTAGGCGTAGATGGAGAGCAGGATCCCGGCGGCGCACACTGCATACCGGGCCACCCGTTCCCACCGCGGCACCGACACTCTCAGCAGGACGGGCGCCGCCATCTTCCCCCCTCCGCCGCCGCCGCCGCCGCCGCCGCCGCCTCCCTCCGCCTCCACCTCAGACGCCGCCGCCCGTCGGGGCCCGACCCAGCCGCCGCCGCTGCCGCCACCGCCTCCGCCGCCGCCGCCGCCGCCACCGCCACCGCCGCGCCCCATTGGCTCGGTCGCCTCCTCCGGGCCCCGCCCCCACAGGCGCGCGGCCCAACCGCCCCGAGAGGAGTGAGGCGGACTGGGCGGGGAAGGCGCGCGCGGGCACGGAGGGAGGGGCGGAGCGCGCAACCGCCAGGGAGGCGGTGCGGCGCATGCGGGGGGGGGGTCTAAGGGAGGGACGGGCTTGAGAAAGGGCGGGGTTTGACCAGAATTGGGGCGGGGCGAGGAAGGCGCACATAAGTGTGGAGGGAGGAGGCGGAGCGCGCAACAGCAGGGAGGTGGTGTGGCGCATGCGGAGGGCGTGGCTGAAAGTGGGCGTGGTTTGATTTAAAAGGGGCGGGTGGGAAAGCCGCGCGCGGGCGGGGAAGAGGCGGAGGTTGTAACCAGCCTGGGTTGCGTGGCGCAAGTAGAGGGTGGTACTGAGAAATGGGGTTCGTTAGACTGGAGGGCGCGGTCAAAAGAGAGGCGGGACAAGGTGGGGCGGGTGCGAAGGGAAGGGGCGGAGCTCAAAAACTGGCGTGCTGGATGGGGCAGGGGCGTGACCAGGAGAGATGAGGGGTGTGGTCTGGGAAGGGGTGACTTAACCTTAAGGGGCTGTTACGAGGGATCGGTTTCAAAGATCATGCATGACTGGGCAAGCCCTTGGCCCCTGGTAGCAATCAATTGCCTTCCTCCCCCCCACACACAAACATTTTCGTCGTTATCACTTGATATTTCTTATCCAATCCAAATTATCCCTGACCAATGGCTCCAGAGCTCCAGAGACACGTTTGCGTGACATGATTTTCCCCAGGCACCACCTCCAGGCGTCTTGTGTTCAACATGTGAGAAACTTTTTTTCTTAAATGTGCAAAACTATTTTTACATTTTAAAAAAACTATTTTTAAGTGGGTTCGTGAATACGTCTCTATAATTTGGATTTGACGTGGCTTTAACATAATCCATACTAAAAGGATAAAAACGAACTAAAAAAAAAAACCCGAAGACTTGGAAAACTTAAAATCAGAAGAAAACGAAAGGGGAGACGTGAGGAGGCAAATACGCAGGCCATAGAGGCTTGCAAAATTGTTAAAATTGAGCCATAACTGATTCTGAGCTTCCTGGTGGCCAAAACTGGATAGGAAAACACACGGAAAGGCATCTGGGTCTACAAAGAAACAAGCTGTTTATGGAGATTGCTAGCATTTGTTCCAATGCAGCTCTCAGGCTCTGGGGGCATCACATTAGTGGCTTTAATTCATAAGTAATGTTCTTCGATTAATTATACAATGTTGGGTAACAGCACCCCAATCTTTTGCAGGTTTACACAAGCTAATAAACTTTTTCCCCTCTGTTTCTCTGGGTCAGGAACCCTCCAGCTCAGAATGCCCTCCCCTTCCCTCTCTCTCTTCCTCTCCTCTCTACCTTGGATCAAATTAAGATGTGAGGCATGGCTGTAGGTATCTCAAACCCTGAGAGTCCTCTTTCAGTCTCACTCCTATGGCAGTCAGAAGGCTGCAGGCCTTCCCTGGATGCTTGGCAGTAGCAACAGTTCCAATTTGCACCTCCAGAAAACATGGCTGGCTTCCACCCCACACCTCCCCCCAAAGTAAGGGGTTAAAGAAGACAAGATTTAGCTCAACAGTAGAATACTTGACTGATATATGGGAAGCTCTAGTTTAAACCTCCAATAAACAGAGAGAGGGAAGGAATGAGATCAGTCTTTTAAAGTGATATTATCAATTTGTGTGTGTGTTCACATATGTGTGGGTACAAAGAAAATCACGGACTGTAATCCTCCATAGATGGCTCTCTGACTTACCTCCTTGAGACAGAGTATCTCACTGAATCTGGAATCTGTGGTTTGCTTAGCTAGGCTGGCTGGCCAAGACCTGAGGATCCATCTGTCTCTGCCTGTCCCCACCTCCCGTGCAAGGATTACATGTAAGGACAGCCACATACAACCACACTAAATAGGAGGTGCCAAAGATTTGAATTCCGGTCCTCATACTGAGGCAGCAAGCATTTTTTACCAACTGAGACATCTCTCCAGCCTGAGTCTTTTGTTATCACGTGACCTCGGGAATGATATCCTATGGCTTTCATACATTCTGTTACTTAGAAAGTTGTCTCACCAGGTGGTGTAGTGTGTGCCTCAAGCCAAGCACCCTTAAATGTCCATGACGGCAGTTCTGAGGAATGACCTCTTCTGACCTCCATGACCCAAACACATATGTGCATCTCCTCTCCCTCCCTTCCCCCACTTCTCCCCCCCCCACACACACACACTTTGGTTATTAATTTAAAAACGGAGAGAATTCTAGAGATTTAAGTTCATCTGCTTGCTACTGGAAAGCTAATACTTGAGAGAAAATTGGTTGAAGGAAGTCAGGTTTAAGAGCAGAAGATGACTCTGTCCCCTGTGGGGATGGGGGAACCATCTGAAGGGACTGAGCACCGCAAAGAGGTGTTTATAAGAGAGAGGGAAAGAAACAGTAGACAGAAAAGCTACAAAGATAGCAGAGTGTTTCTCTTACTGGGCATTCCCCCACTCCATTAAGACTCTGTCCTAAAGCTTTCTAGCCCAGCTATGGTGATACTTCAGAGTTCCGGCTCAATCCTTGCTGGGATTATTTTCAAAGTGTTGGAGGAAAGCACGGAATTCTAATTCAGCAAATCAAGTCTGAGGTCATTGAAGGTGCTTGCAGGAAGATTTCCACCATCTGGAAACCTTTAGGTAGACACACTGCCTCTCTATAGGTTAAATTCCAGTCAGTCCCTCAAAGGAACAAGAAAGTGCTATTTCCAAAAACAGGAAGAGACAACCAAAGAGACAAAGCAGGAGACCAGGGCTGAGGTAGAGTCTTCAGTAGTGTGCTTGACCAGCAGACACAAGGGTAGAATCATAGGTGTACACCGGTGTGCTTCTGAGGTCTGTCTACTTTTCTTCTTTTTAAATCAGGTCTCACATATCCTAGGCTGGCCTCAAACACACCAGAAACCCGAAGGTGACCTTGAAGTTCTGACTGTCCACCTCCACCTCCCTGGTGCTGGGATCATAGGTATAACACTTCCATACCCAGTTTATGGAAGGCTAGGGATTGAAGTGAGGGCTTCCTGCATACAGAGAAAGCACTCTGAGTCACATCCTAAGCCCCAGGTCCCTATTTTCTGACAAACTCAGCTTTCTACTCAAAACGGTCTTCTCTTCCTTGGGATACTTAATCCAATATTCCCATGTTTGTACAGAGAAAGAGATGGCTCGACTCTGCCCCAGAACAAAAATCCCAGAAGCTTCCTGCAAGCACCTTCAAGCATCTCAGACTTGATTTGCTGAGTTAGAATCCCATGCTTTCCCCCAACACTTTGAAAATAATCCCAGCAAGGATTGAGCCGGAACTCTGAAGTGTAATGATAGCTGGGCTAGAAAGCTTTAGAACAGAGTCTAAATGTCCAAGGCTACCCAGGTCCTTTCAGGAAAACAGCCTATGGAGAGGGGACAGGTGTTATTTTCATATTTGAGAGATAATTCGTTCTATCATCATTCCATTAATGTGAGTATGGCTGTTATGTCAATATGTCATATTTAAACATCATAGGCATGACGGTACACACCTATAAACTGAGCACTCAGAAGGGTTAAGATAGGAAGATTGCAAGTTCAGGACCATCCTGGGCGACACTGAGAGACCCTGTTTCCCAAATAAACCTCTTCAAGGAAAAACAAAAACAACCTGGTACCATGATCTAATGGACACAAAGATTTAGGATTTGACCACTAAAAAACCAAATAGCTATTATACTTATTTATCTTGGTTTCTTCTCTTCTTCCTCTTCCTCCTCTTCCTTATTCTCTTCCTCCTCTTCCTCCTCCTCCCCCTTCTCTTCCTCCTTCTTCTGTACCTCCCCCTATGCTAAAAGTCCCCCAGACAAGACTTCTTTCTCTGTTTGGTCCACTGTCTTGACCACAATACAGGTCAGGAAGACAGGATCTGGCCCAAGGGTAGGGACCTAGTAGGTCGATTTTAAATGAATGAATGATTCTTTTAAAAGGCTGGTTTACATGCAAGAGATAGATGAAAAACCAAATGCAGTGGTTTACAAGTGGAATCTCTGAAAGCGTTCCACTGCTTAAGGACATGGCCTGGGATCCCGACGTTTCCCTAGCTCTGTGTCTGGCAAGCTTCTTGCTCCCTCTGCCCCATTGTCTTCATCTATAAATTGGGAAGGCTGCACTACTGACCTAGAGGGCTTAAGGAGGATTAATGCGTGGCGCCTGGCACATGGGAGTGTTCAGTAAGTACTTCCTATTGTTACCTTAATCCTCTCCATGGGTGAAAACGAAACACAGCACTAGGTGAGATTAAAATCATCCAGAACCAATGGCCTAAAATAAACATCCGAAACTTAACCGATCTGTAATTCAGCAACTATGAGCTACATTATTTATTTTTTAAAAATTTACAGACTTAATTCATTTATTTTTCATGCATAAAAACCCTTCTGTGGTAGCCACAGCTGGAGCCTGGGTCCCCTGAACAGACTCTGGTGTGGGTCTTCACAAGATGATCAGTGAATTCCTGATAAGAAGACCTGGTGAATACAGTCTCTTTCCAGAGGTCAGGGGTCAGGTAGCTGTAGGTCTTGGAGATGGCATCAAAGGTGGCCTTGGCAAAGTTGCCCAGGGTGGCAATGCGGCCCCTGGCTGAAGTGTAGCAGTCGTCTATGCCGGCCATCATCAGTAGCTTCTTGGGCACAGGAGCAGAGACAATGCCAGTGCCGCTGGGGGCAAGGATGAGACAAACAAACACAGAGCCACAACGGCCTGTCACCTCGAATGGAACAGTGTGGGGCTTGCCAATCTTGTTCCCCCAGTAGCCTCTCAGCACAGGGACAATGGAGAGCTTGGCCAAGATGATGGTCCCTCG